TTTTCACTTACTTTCGACCCGCAGGACACGTACTGTCCCCCGGGCTGCCACATCCCGAGCTGAAATTCCAAGAAATTCCGTGGTTTCCCTCTGCCCTGTCGCGAAATAGAAGATCGTCCCGAATTAATCAACGATTTACGGAATTTTTACCCTCCGCTCGATTATCGGGGATAATGATCGGGGAAACAGACATTACAGGACACAGGGGATATTATATCGCTCAAGGTGGTCGAGTTTCAGCTTTTACAGATGTATTATTACGGGTAATAAATATCGGCAGGCCATTATGTAATAGCTCTGGTTATAATTCGACGTGAAAAGAATATGCTCTGGTTGCGTATTGAATATGAAAAGGGAGGCGAGGCGATTAAAAAGCATTGTCTCGCGTCGCGCGCATCGAGAGTGCACCCTCCTGCATTCGATGAAAATGAACGTATTCTCTTGGGCATCGTACACTATGCAGCGGTCCCCATTCGGTTTGCATTCGGTTCCACGGGATAATAGCCTAAAGGTACATAGCACGAGCGGTTCGAGAAATGGAAGAACAAATACCGTGGGGCACGTAAACGATACACATTACGTATCTACGTGACTGAGCTACGACCCATAGAAAATGTCGCCAACAGAGGCATTTGTGGGATCAGCCCGGTAGATAGATATTGACTGTCATGCGATTCGTTACAAAACACTGGAGGAAAAATATATATATATATATTTCTTTATTTATTTTTTTTTTAAGTCGCTCAATTAGAAATGATTAAAAAGATCGAAGAAATCAATAGACGAATAGTGTTGTTAATGCAAAAGAGAATATTGTTTCCATTTCTATGATTATCGATTTTTCTGTCGTTCATCGGATAATAAAAACCCGCCTTGTTAATTGATAAAAGAAGATTATCAATCAACTTTGTAATATAAAACGATACAAGATACACTTAATGTTTTTCTACTTGGAATATTTTCTTTTCATTAATATTCCTACCTCTCTCGGCTTAATGAAATATATCGATTGGAAAACCGTTCCTGTGCGCATCCTGTGCCTTGACGCATTCCATCAAGATCCATCGTTTGTCGGGCCAAAAATTTTGTAACAATTTTTTAACAAGTAACGCGAGCGCCTGTGAAACTGCGAAAAGAACAAATTTCAACAACAATGGCAAAGATGTTACAAAAAAAGCTCGAAGAAGCTCAAAATTGGAAAATTTAATATCTCAACAATTAACATCCCCTTTTCGTATCGAGTCGCGATTACAATTTCTCCCGTAGATACGTTTATACAATAAATTCGAACCTCTTCGAACTCGAGAGTTTCCATTCTCTCAAGCCTTTCACCAACGGCGAAACATTTTCCTAACAATGCGAATCGCACGTGCCTGGCCTACCTACGATCCAGAAATGCTCGTTCCAAGTGGCTCGCTCCACCTTATACCTCGTACCTCGAGGGATCCGTGGATTCGTGATTCTTCGAAGGAGATGGAAGCGGGGCAGCAGGCAGGCAGGGTTACCATTTTCGCGAGTATCCCTCCCTCCCGCTCGGGAGAGCTGCGGTTGGGAGATGTTTAATGCAAACTCATCGATTCTCCAAACCCTCGGACATTTTTCTCCCTCCCCCTGTGCAAGCCTCTCTAAGGGATTCTCGCCAAAGATTGCGGCGAAGATTCTATGAGTGATGGCGGCTCATAAAGTCGGATGTGGGCCGTTCCCTCCACCTTCCATCTACCATCCTCCTTTGCCTTCTAAAACCACCCCTTGACCCGGCCACTCGAGTCACTCCGCCCATTTCTTGCGGCGGATCTCTCCGGTGATACATCGACCGGAGAACGACACTCGCGCTTCTTGATTAGCCGCATCATTTTTTTCCTCCTCTTCGTATAATATCGCGTTTCGTTTCGAAAAGAATGGAAAACGATTCTTCGACTTATATTATGGCTGAAATGAGATATTCTCCGCTCCTCCTATTTCTCCGTATCCTTACTCGATCAGAATATCGTTATCGTTTACGAGGATCGTGTGGATATTATTCGATTCGTAAATGAAACTGTCAACGACGCGACCAATTTCAATCTCTGAAAAAAAAGTTTCCAAGTTTCTTTCGAGAAACGTACGACACCGCGTGCAACGGTTGACAAACCAACTTTACGATCGGACGACCACTTTTGGCACGTAGAACACACTCGTGTAATCTCCGATAGTAACGAAATCCATCGAGCTGGAATCGAGCTTGTGTATCCGTACACGCTACTCCGTACTACTATATACGATCCGTGGGCGAACGACGTTTTACCAGAGTAATCTCGCGGATCGCCAGGGAAAATATTTACAAGAAATAGCAGGGGATATTTTCTTTATCGATGGTCGAGCACATAAACCGCGTCTTCCGCGTCGCTCGGAAGGGGTACGTGATCGAAATATATCTGGACCGTGCCACCCATTCGCCCAATTCGAAATATACGATTCGACCGTCGCGTTTACAGCGACACCCAAAGTTTTAGGACGCTCCTGTTCGTTTCCACCGTGGAACGAGGATCGATTTCGAGGATTCGCCTCGTGAACGAGCGGCATAAACTCGGTGTCGGAAGGATTTCCAAGGGGGCGAAACGCGTCGACTTGGAGGAAGAATTCACAGGGAGCAGACGTTTCTCCGCGAGGCAAAAACGACGCTTGTCGTGCTTTTTCCCTTGGATCGTCGCGTGTCCCCAACCTCCCTCCCCAGCCTCACCCTTTTCGCACCGCTTTTTCCGCAGTTGGCTCCGAACAACCACCATCGTCTCACGCGGGCAAGAAACACGATTTATACAGGATTTCTGAGGATTCCTTTTAATTCGGCCCATGATTTATGAATTCGACCCGTTCAATCTCTCGTGGACGCGTTGAACGCGGGGGAAAATAGAAATAAATATTATTGGCGGAGATAAGAGTTTCCACCACCAGAGTCGTGCCAAATTTTAAATCAGTTGGGTACGAAAAGCACGAAAATCAATAGGGGCGAGTTTTATGGACGGAAGTAAGACTGTGGGATAGTTAAAGCTTGGAACGAGCTTGCCAAGGAAGGCACCAGACCACGAACAAAGTCCCGAGTTTGGCCATTTTTTACCGAGTATCGTCCAAAATCATATCTCCTCTCCCCCTTTCTCTTTTTATTTTTCTAGTTTATCTCGCAATCTCGTCCATTCTTTCTTTCCTTTCTTTCCTTTGTTTCGTTATTATAAAACAGAAAAATATCGTTGTTACTTATTACACATATCGTAATCGCTCGACAACAAATTGCGATAATATTTCCAACGGGGGATAATTCAAAAAAATTAAATCAATCTCCATTATATCTCGCTATTCGTTTATTTTTCCAAGAGACGAATGGTACCTGTCGTCAAAGACGAATCGTTATCAGAAAAACTTTCCTCTCCGGGAACTTCTTTAGTGACCCCCTGAGCGACATAAAAATACATCTCTCTTTTTTCCGGATAAAACACTTTTCAGGGAAGGAAACGAACGCGTCTTCTGTAAAAAAAAAAAAAAAAAAAAAAAGTTAGAAAAATTCCTCCTCCGAAAATTCTTTAAAAATTCTTTCTTTCGAAAAATCACAAATCTCCAAGTCGCCTAAGATTTATTAGACGAATACCCGCGTGCAATTTATCTCTTTTCGACAAGCGCGCGCTTCGATTCTCTTCGATTCTCCAAATCAGAATTTTCCAAGATGCGACGGGAAAGAAGGGCAGGAAAAAAGAAGTAAAGTCGGGGAGAAACCTTCTCAAACGAAATGCTCAGAGCCAGAGGTGTGGATTACGAGCACGCGAGGTTAAGCCTTTAGGCAAGACTTTAGGAATGGCCGCGCATTTTTACGCCGAGCGACGAGAAGAAGAAGAAGAAGAAGACTCTCCCCTTTGAGAAACGGGGAAAAGAAAACGAGTAAATATAGGCGGCGGCGGCAGCGCCTGCTTTCCTCGCCGCGGTTCTTCGCGGCCGGGTGAAGCGTAAGCGTCTTTAGAAAATACAACCCTTGCCCTCCTCCCCTCTTTCTTCCTCCCTCTTTTCAAAACACCCTTTTTCTCGAAAGAGGACCACGATTCCTCCTCCCCAGTTCGAACCCACCGCCCTTC